TGCAGGCTCTGCCGGCACGGGCTTGCGAGATTAACTGGCCACAGCGGGTAGGGCAGGGTGGCTAACCTCCCCAATGCTGGTCTCTGAGGACATGCAGAGGTGCTGAAAGCTGAGTAACCCAGGCAAGCCACCTTTGCCTCCCACTCTTTTCCAAGCTCTATCAGCCTCTGAGAAAGGCCGGCTCAGTTTAGACACAAGCACCAATCCCAGGCGGAAAAAAAAAAAAAAAAAAAAAGTGCCTGCCAGTTACAGAAGTATTCAGTTGGGAGCTTAGAGCGGGCTTCCTAGAAGAATTACTTAAGCTGGGCTTTGAAAAACAACTAAAAATGGCATTTTTGCATAGAAAAACATAGAAAAATACAGCATGACTTTTCTGACAATCCAGTTAGGTCCCCACCCTCTGGGATTTCACAGTTTAAAAACGCAGAAAGACCTGGAAGACACATGAGTAATCATCAGTCACTTGGGATAAACTGAACATTTACAAAGTGCCTTAGTCTGTGTTGATGGAACTTGGTGGAAAAATAAATAAATCCGACTTGGTGTGTATTCTTTAAGAACTTATAGTCTGGTAAAATAATATTTTAGTTCATTCTCTATTGCTTAGTAACTGAATAACAGAATGAGGTTTATTTAACTCAAGTTTGGAAGGTGCAAAGTTGAGGGGCTGCATCTGGTGAGGGTCTTCCTGCTGGTGGAGACTCTTCAGAGTCCCAAGGCAGTGCACAGCATCAAAAACCCACCAGGACCCAATCATGGGGGCACCACCCTGATGATCTCAATCTTAATCACCTCCTAAAGGCCCTAACTCTTTTTTCTTTTAAGAATTATTTTATTAGGGGGACCAGCAGTTAGCGTAATGGCTATGTCGCTGGACTCCCACGTAGCCGACCACGGTTTGAGTCCCGGATCCGGTGGCTTAAATTCACGCTGGGTGCGTGTGTGTGCGTGCCCAAGATTCCGAGAGGAGAATGGAGGAGAAGGGATTGCGGCGTGGCCATCCCCCCTGAGGGGTGATTTCTCGCTTTCTATCTCTCTGTCTCTCTCTGTCTTTCTAGCGAGCGCACGTGCCCTATAGCAAAAACCTCTCAAAAAAATTATTATTATTATTTTATTAGGGACCAGCAGGTGGTGTGGTGGTTGGGACGCTGGACACTACCGCATAGCCGACCACAGTTTGAGCTGCTTTGCACTGGCTCAAGATCGAGCAGGTCATGTGGGGACTTTGCTATGTGCAATCACTGCTGTTGCAACGCGAGTCTGAGCTAGGCTGGCAGCTGTCACAGCCTTTCAGTGTCTCTGGGATGGCGATGCAAAGAGGGAGGGCTGCAGGCTCTGCCGGCACGGGCTTGCGAGATTAACTGGCCACAGCGGGTAGGGCAGGGTGGCTAACCTCCCCAATGCTGGTCTCTGAGGACATGCAGAGGTGCTGAAAGCTGAGTAACCCAGGCAAGCCACCTTTGCCTCCCACTCTTTTCCAAGCTCTATCAGCCTCTGAGAAAGGCCGGCTCAGTTTAGACACAAGCACCAATCCCAGGCTTTGAAAGTGACCTCACCGCAAACGTGATTGGCCGCGTCTCTCCTCATGGGGCGGGTCCTATTAGTTTACCAACGCGTAACCTTTTTGGGGTGGCTTAGAGGGCTAAATGACCTTGAGGAAGTAAATAAATCCTCCAAACCTCTTTTATGAAATGGAGCTATTAATACCTATCCTGAAATGGCCAATAAGACACCAGAAAAGTCGTCATGTCTTTTAAAAAGTGCTTTTATTATTTCATCTGCTTACAAAAGTGATATACAAAAATAAACATAGGAAGACCGCAGATGGTGTTGCAGATACTTGCTGGACTACCACGAGGCCGACTGCAGTTCGAGTCCCATTCCCAGTAGCTTGAAAATCACACCACATACCTGTGCGGTTGTGCCCAAGATCCGGAGGAGAATAGAGGATAAGAGACTGTAGTGTGGCCATCTCCCCTGGAGGGTGATTTCTCATTTTCCCTCTCACGTTTAATTTTATGTATATAATACAAACAGAATAATCCTCCTATTCATTATTCCCTCACTTCTTCCCAGCCCCTAGTTAGCAGCTATTAACAGCTCCATGTATTTTCTTAAAGAATTATTTTATTTAACTTTATTTATTAGTTTATTTATTTATTTATTTTTAATTTGACCAGAGAGGGACAGAGTGTGTGAGAGACAGAGGGAAAGTAAGCAAGCAAGCCGCCAGGTCTGGGACTTAGAACCGTGGTAGGCCATGGGGGAAGGCAGTGCCTTTCATCACCATGGCACCTGCTGGCCCCAACAGCTCAGTGTATTTTTTCTCAGATTTTTTTTCTATAATATACGAAAGATTAATTTTTTTAATAAAAGGTCAGTTATACTCTACTTCTTTTTCGCTTAATGCATTTGGGATTGCTAATACAAATGTAACATGAACAGTTCTTCATTCTTTTTTTTTTTTTTTTAATTTTGCTATAGGGCGTATGTGATCACCAGAGAAAGATACGAGAAAATGAGAAACTACTCCCCTCCCATATGAGGAACGTACACACCACAGTCCCTTCTCCATTTCTCCCTCTTTTGGGTATTTTTAGGCACTCACATATGTAATTGACGTGTTTCTCAAGCTGCTGAGTCTAGGACTCAAACCACACAGTTGGCCATGTGAGAACCAGCAGCCATAAACCAAACACAGGGTGGCCCAACCCTAGTTATTTTTAATAACCAAGGGAATGTTTGTTGAAGGAATAAAGAATAATGCTATGAAGGACAATGAAATAATGTATTTAAAGTACTAAGAGGACCAGCAGGTGGCATGGTGGTTAATTTGCTGGACTCCCAATGAGCCATCACACTTCAGGTCCTGGACCTGGTGATTCGAAAATCACGCCAGGTGTGTGTGCGTGTGTGCTCCAAATCCTAAGAGAAGAATGGAGGAGAAGGGATTGTGGGGTGGCCATCCTCCTTGGGGGATGATTTCTCACTTTCTCTCTCACTGTTTATCTCTCTCTCTCTGATGAGTGCACATGCCCTATGGCAAAAACCTAAAAAAAAAAAAATTAAAAATAAAGTACTAACTCAGTACTGAGTGATCAATAAATATAAATGGAATCTAAGTTGGGAATTAGGGGGTGGGCTTTGTAATGCTCTTGAGTTCTCTTCAGGACGTAGAATGGTTGTTATGAACTCTGAGACTACAAAGGGCCTGGCTTGTCCTGGACCTCTCACTCTGATGTTCAGTCCCTCAGCAACAGTTAGATTAGTGCATGCTGCGTCATGCCTATAGTTATCAGGACCAGCAGATGGCTTAATGGTTAAGTCACTGGACTCCCCCATGGTCAACCAGAGTTCGAGTCCTGGACCTGGAGGCTTGAAACTCATGACAGCCACATGTGCCTGCATCCCCAAAATCCTGAGAGGAGAACAGAGAAGAGATTACAGCATAGCCATTCCCCCGAGGGATGATTTTTCTCCTTCTGTCTCTCTGTCTCTCTCGCACATGCCCTATGGCAAAAATTTCTCTTAAAAAAAAAAAAAGAGTTATCAAACAAAACACATGAGAGTAACTTACAATAAGCATATACAGTTAGCCCACCATATCCACAGGTTCTGTCTCTGCACATGGTAAATATTCAAGGGAAAAAAACAGGGGCCAGTAGGTGGCATGGTGGTTAAGGCACTGAATTCTCACATAGCTAACAACAGTTCAAGTCCTGGACCCGGGAGCCTGAAAATTATGCAGAGCCTGTGTGCATGCATGCCCAAAATTCTGAGATGAGAATAGAGAAAGGATTGTGGCAGAACCATCTCCCCGGGGGATGATTTCTCACTTTCCCACTCTGTCTCTCTCCAGTGGGAACACACACTCACATACCCTGTGGGAAAAACCTAAAAAAAAAAAAAATTAAAAACAATTTGATAAAAATATACAACATTTAAAACATACAGACTAACAATGATTTATATAGCATCTACACTGTATTAGGTATTATAAGTAAATTTAGAGATGATTTAAAGTATAAGGGAGGACCAGCCCTAGTGGGCAGCATTTTAATGCTATGCAGAGAGAGCCTGAGTTTGAGCTCTGATCACTGTAGCTTGGAAAACACACAGTGCATGTGCTCCTAGGATCACGCTGTGGTAAAGATTGGAGGAAAGAGGATTGCAGTGTGACTGGGACTCATTTGGGTGTGTGTTGGGGGGGTGCTTTCTCTCTCTCTCACATACCCTCAGGCATTAAAAAGAAAAGAAAAAAAGGGGCCAGCAGATGCCTTACAGATAACATTGTGGGACTCCCATATAGTTGACTGAGATTCGAGTCCCAAACTCTTCAGCTTAAAACTCATGCCAGCGCATGTGTACATGCATGCCCAAGGTCCTGAGAGGAGAATGGAGGGGAAGGGATTGTGGCCTGGTCATACCCCCTGGGGAGTGATTTCTCACTTTCTGTCTCTCTGCCTCTGTCTGTTTCTTTGGTGAGTGCACACGCCTTATAATAAAAATCTCTCTTAAAAAAAAAAAAAGGAAGTATAAGGGGGGCCAACAGATAGCATGGTGTAAGGCGTTGGACCCTCACATGGCTGACTATGGTTTGAGTTCTGGACCTGGTGACTTGAATATCACATTGCACGTGTGCCTGCATGCCCAAATCCTAGGAGGAGAATGAAGAGATTGTGGCATGGTCATGCCCATTGGAGGGTAATTTCTCACTTTCCCTGTCACTGTCTCTGTGTGTCTTTCTCTATAATGGAGGATGTGCATAGGTTGTATGGATGGACGATGCCATTTTATTTAAGAGACTTGAGCACATGTAGATTTCAGTACCTGCAGAGGCCCTGGAACCAATTCCCTGAGATTACCAAGGGACAACTATACTCGTGTGTTATTTGAGTAATTAAATTAAGTTTAGGCTGTCTGTGAGTAGAGGCTTAGGCAAGGTCTTCTAATTAACCACTGTCCCAAGTTGCGGAGGCACATCGGCAATGGGCTAGTTCATGAAACCCGGGAAGGTGGCGCTGGTGCTGGCGCTGGTGCTGGCGCTGGTGCTGGCTGGACGCTACCTAGGATGCAAAGCCGTGATCATGAAGAACATTGATGATGGCACCTCAGACCATCCCTACAGCCATGCTCTGGTATCTGGAATTGACCACTATCCTGCAGTGACAGCTGCCATGGGCAAGAAGAAAATTGCCAACAGGTCAAAGATCAAATCTTTCATGAAGGTTTGTAACTACAATCACTCATGTCCACAAGGTACTCTGTGGATATTCCCTTGGACAAAACTGTGGTCAACAAGGATGTCTTCAGAGATCCTACTCTTAAATGCAAGGCCCAGTGGGAGGCAAAGGTTGAGTTCGAACAGAGGTAAAAGACAAGCAAGAACAAGTGGTTCTTCCAGAAGCTGTGGTTTTAGATATTTTATATTTCAGTCATTAAAAAGGGGGAAAACAATTAAGATTAAAAAACAAATGTGAATATTTATAAGAATAGGGAGGAAATAAACTCACGGAAATAAGGAAAGGACAAAAAGAAATGCTGTCATTTGATGACCTTAAATTTCTTTTTAAAATATGTGAATTCAGGGCTATCAGGTGGTATGGTGGTTGAGGTGGCTGGATTCCACAAGACTGACAGCTCTGTTTGAATCCTGGACCTGGCATGTACCACCATGCCCAAATCTGGATAGAAGAATGGAGGAAAAGAGATGGCATCGAGGGGTCAGCAGATGGTGTGGTGGTTTATGGCGCTGGATTCCCACATGGATGACTGTGGCTGGAGTCCCGGACCTGACAGCTTGCTTTCTCACTTTCTCTCTCTCTCTCTCACACTCTCTCCCTCTCTGGTCAAATTAAAGTAAATAAACAAAGTTAAATAAAGTAATTCTTTAAAAAAAAAAAAAGATATATAGAGAGATGGCATGGCCATCCCCTCCTGTAGAGGTGATTTTTTTTTTTTAAATGTCATTTCATACTTGGCCCAGCCTTTCTTTTGCCTTTTCACTAACTCTCTCGCGCCCTCTAGTGTTCAGATGGTCTCATTTCAACTTAGCAAATGATAATGGGAAAAATACTTCTGGCCAGACCCTGAGTTTAGTTACCTATAACACCCTCACTGAGCCCTGCTCTATTCTTAGCCCTGTGACCAGCACAAGAGACAAAGAAGTTACAGTCTTGTGGGGAATATAGACTGTGATGCCATTAAGAGCATGACAAGAAACATTTCTAGAACAGAAATTACCCTGAATCAGGCATTATGCTAAAAACATTATATACATGATCTTTGAGTCCTACCAGCAGCCATAGAATGGTCCTGCCTTCACAGAAGAGGAATTGGGCTCAGGCACATGAATAGTTCAAGGTCACAATTTAGTAAAAGTGGAATATGGATTCTGAGCTAAGAGCTATTCCTCCTCCAAATACAGTCTTTCCTATATCATCCTAGAATAAAGATAGTGGTGTGAAACACTGAAGTGAGAGCTTCTAAGTCTATTTTGAGGTTGTATGGTTGTTAATCTGCGAGGAGAGGATTTTTGATTTGGGCACAGAAGTGTGGTCCAGACACCAGGAGCAGAGGTAAACAGAGACACAAACCTGGAATATATTCAGAGAACAGAAGGAATGCTTTCCCCCTCTCCCTTTCTCTCTGTCTCTCTCTGGCAAGTGCACACACCCTCTGGCAAATGAAAGTTAAAAAAAAAATCAGATTTTACTTGGCCAACCATGTTTCAAATCGCTGACTCAGTGGCTTGAAAGCACATTAAGTGCATATACATGCATGCTCCAAATCCTGACAAAATGGAGAAATGGAAGAAAAAGGATTGGGTCATGACCATGCCCCATTTGGGGCTGCTTCTCTCTCTCTCTCTTTTTTCTTTTTCTTTTCTTTTTTTTTTTTGGAGAGGTTTTTGCATGTGCGCTCGCCAGACAGACAGAGAGAGACAGAGAGACAGAAAGCAAGAAATCACCCCCCAGGGGGGATGACCACGCCGCAATCCCTTCTCCTCCATTCTTCTCTTGGGATCCTGGGCATGCACGCCACCGGGTCTGGGACTCGAACCGCGGTCAACTACGTGGGAGCCCAGCGACATAGCCATTACACTAACTGCTGGTCCCCTCTCTCTCTCTTTCTCTCCCTTTGGAGCACACATACACTGTGGCAAAAAAAATAAACCTTCTTTTTTTTTTTTTTTTTTTTTTTAGCGTGAGTTCTATTTCTGCCCTTTTGGCTCTCTGAATAGCACTATGGTGGCTGGCAAGAATAAGTACCTTATGAAAGGCAGCAAAAAGGGAGCCAAGAAGAAAGTGGTTGATCCATTTTCTAAAAAAGATTGGTATGACATGAAAGCACCTGCAATGTCAACATAAAAAATATTGGCAGGGGCTGGCAGGTGGTGTGTGGTTAAGGGCTCTGGACTCCCATATGGCCGACCACAGTTTGAGTCCTGGATCTGGCAGTTTGCTTTTTCGCTTCCTCTCTCTCTCCCTCCCCTTCTCTGATCAAATATTTTTAAAAAAGAATAAATAAGCAAATAAAATTAAATAAAAAATTCTTCTTATATTAAAAAAAGAAATATTGGGAAAACACTAGTTGCCAGGACTCAAGGATTCAAAATTGACAGCTGTAAGGGTCGTGTGTTTGAAGTGAGCCTTGCAGATCTGCAGAATAGTGAAGTCACATTTAGGAAATTCAAGCTAATTACTGAGGATGTTCAGGGCAAAAACTATCTAACTAACTTCCATGGCATGGATCTCACCCATGACAAAATGTGTTCCATGGTCAAAAAATGACAGTCCTTGACTGAAGCTCATGTCGATGTCAAGACTACCGAAGGTTATTTGCTTTGTCTCTTCTGTATTGAGTTTACTAAAAAGCACACCACTCAGATATGGAAAGACCTCTTATGCCCAGCATCAGCAGGTCCACAAAATCTGGAAGAAGATGATGGAAATCATGACCCAAGAGGTGCAGATAAATGACTTCAAAGAAGTGGTTAATAAACTGATTCCAGGCAGCATTGGAAAAGATATAGAAAAGGCCTGCCACTCTATCTACCCTCTCCAGATGTCTTCGTCAGAAAAGTAAAAATGCTGGGAACCAGCAGTTAGCGTAATGGCTATGTTGCTGGACTCCCACGTAGTCGACCGTGGTTCGCGTCCCGGACCCAGTGGCTTAAAACTCACGCTGGGCGCATGTGCGTGCGTGCCCAAGATCCCGAGAGGAGAATGGAGGAGAAGGAATTGTGGCATGACCAACCCCCCTGGGGGGTGATTTCTCGCTTTCTGTCTCTCTGTCTCTCTCTGTCTGGTGAGCTCACGCACCCTATAGTGAAAAAAACCTCTCCAAAAAAAAAAAAAAAAAGAAAAGTAAAAGTGTTGAAGAAATCTAAGTTTGAGTTTGGAAAACTCATGGAGCTTCATGGTGAAGGCAGTAGCTCTGGCAAAGCTACTGGGGATGAAACAGGTGCCAAAGTTGAACGAGTTGATGGATATGAATCACCAGTCCAAGAATCTGTTTAAAGTTCAGACTTTTTTTTTTTTTTAAGAATTATCTTATTTAACTTTGTTTATCCATTTATTTATTTATTTTAATTTGATCAGAGAGGGAATGAGAAAGAGAGGGAAAGAAAGAGAAAAAAAGTGAGAAAGCAAGTCGCCAGGTGCAGGATTGGAACCACAGTCAGCCATGTGGGTGTTCAGCGCCCTTTACCACCATGCCACCAGCCAGCCCTAAAGTTCAGACTTTTAATAGTGACAAATAAAAAGCCCTATTTGTGAAAAATAATATATTATTTTGGAGATGTGTTTGCTATAGACCACGTGCGCTCACCACAAAGACAGAGAGTGACAGAAAGACAGAAAGTGAGAAATTACCCCTCAGAGTGGATGGCCACATCGCAATCCCTTCTCCTCCATTCACCTCTCAGGATTTTGAGCACGCACTCACACGTGCCCAGCATGAGTTTAAGTCACCAGGACTCGAACTGCGGTTGACTATATGGGAGTCCAGTGACATAGCCATTACACCAACTGCTGGTCCCAATAATAATAGCTTTAATAAAAATAATAGGAATAGAAACTGTCTTGGGAGATCTTTCTGTCTAGGCTTTTTGGATCTGATGATTATAACCAGGAAAGCAAAGCAAAATACCAATCAAGTTATTTTTTTCTTCCTCATCTCCTTGGCATGTTCCTCTTCTATTTCATTTTTTTAATTCAAAAAATAATTATTGCACACCAAGTCTCTCTTTTACTGTATGACCTTGATAAGTTACTAAACACCAGTTTCCTTGCATGCAGATCGGGGATAATACCTACCTCATAGTGTCATAATAAGTGCCATAGTAAAAATTAAGCACGTTAATTAGAATAAAGCTCTTAAAATTAGATCCTGGAATAAAATCCAGTTCTGTTTAAGAATTAGTTATTAGGGGCCTGAAGGTGGTGTGATGGTGATGGTGGCTGGACTCCCACACAGCTGACTATGGTTCGAGTCCCAGACCTGGCGGTTTGCTTTCTCACTTTCCTTCTCTCTCATGGTCAACTTCAAAAAATAAAATAAAATTGGGACCAACAGATGGCATAATGGCTATGTCGCTGGACTCCTATGTAGTCAATCACAGTTCAAGTCCCAGACGTGGTGGCTTAAACTCATGCCCGGCAAGTGTGCATGCATGCCCAAGATCCCAAGAGGAGAATGGAGGAGAAGGGATTGCGGAGTGCCCATTCCCCCTGGGGGGTAATTTCTCGCTTTCTGTCTCTCTCTGTCTTTCTGGAGAGCACACGTGCCCTACAGCAAAAATATTTCAAAAGTAAAAAAAAATAATGACAATGAATAAAATAAAATAATTATTTTTAAAAAATTAGTTATTACAGGGGCCTGCAGGCAGTGTGGTTGTTAATGTGCCGGGCTCCAACATGGCTGACTGTGGTTCAAGTTCTAGACCTGGTGACAAATTTTTCAAGTTCCCTTTCCCTCTCTCTGGTCAAATTAAAAAATAATAAAAATAAAATTAAATAAGTCATTCTTTACTTTTTATTATTAATGTTTTTTTTTAGAGAGAGATTTTCGCTGTAGGGAGTGTGAGTTCACCAGAGAGAGAGACAGAGACAGAAAGCGAGAAATCATCCCCCTAGGGGGAATAGCCATGCCACAATGCCTTCTTTTCCATTCTCCTCTTGGGATTTTGGGCACACACCCGTGCCTGGCATGAGTTTTAAGCCACTGGGTCCAGGACTTGAACTGCGGTTGACTACATGGGAGTCCAAGAACGCAACCATTACGCTATCTGCTGATCCCAATAAATCATTCTTTAAAAAAAGGAATTAGTTATCATAACAATGTTGTAATGGGTGGGCTCTGTAGCCTGGTGGTTAAGCCAGTCTTAACCAGTCTTTTTTTTTTTTTTTTTTTGAGAGAGATTTTCACTGTAGGGCGCGTGCGCTCGCCAGACAGACAGAGAGAGAGACATAGAGGCAGAAAGCGAGAAATCACCCCCCAGGGGGGATGGTCACGCCGCAATCCCTTCTCCTCCATTCTCCTCTCGGGATCTTGGGCACGCACGCACACGCGCCCGGCGTGAGTTTTTTTAAGCCACCGGTCCGGGACACGAACCGCGGTCGACTATGTGGGAGTCCAGCGACATAGCCATTACGCTAACTGCTGGTTCCCAAGCCAGTCTTTATCCACATGGGTGATCACATAGTTCAAATCTTCCACCCTGGAGACTTGAGAAACATGCCAAGCATGTATATGTGCCCAGATCTGGAAAGATGGGAGAGAGAGAAGAAGTGATGGCAATAAGGCCATTTCCTGAGGCGGTGCTTTATCAGCTCTGTCTCTGAGTCTCGCTGGTGAATGCACCCTCTAGCAAAAACTCAGAAGAAAGTTATAACTACTATCTGTGTTTCTCTCATCATCTTCCACATTCATTCATTCTTTTATTATTTATTATTAATTTAACTTATTGAATTATTCATTTTTGCTGTAGAGCACGTGCACTCGCCAGACAGACAGAAAGCAAGAAAGCACGGGGAACACGCCACAATCTCTTCTCTTCCATTCTCCTCTAGGGATTTTGAGCACTTACACAGCTGGTGTGTTTTAACCCACTGGCCCGGGACTCAAACCATAGTTGACTCCGTGGGAGTCCGACAATGTAACCATTACGCCATCTGATGGCCCCCGCCATTCATTCTTTAGGTCATTCGTGTTGGCGGCCAGGATGGATGTGGAAGGACTATAGATGAACTAAACTTCTGTTGCATTTGTACAGATTTACGATTATGATTACCGGTCTGCCCAGCCACATCTGGCACACAGAAGGTGCTCGAAATGTTTACTGAATGAATAAACACACGTCTTCCCACTGAGCTGCAAGATCTCTGAAGGCAGCGTCCATTCTTCCAGCTGTCATATCCCTAGATCCAAACACCTGGAGGCACCCAGGAGGGCCTTGGGGAATACCGAACTAACGAATTCATGGATGACTGGATAAATGACTGCAGGCGGAAAACCATTAAGGCTACAGAGCGGGCACAGAAAGGTGCCGCAGAAAGACCTCCAGCAGCTTTAGGAACGAGGTTAGCCGAAGAAACGTGGCTGCCAATGACCTAGGCAGCACGAGGACTGCAGGGAAGCCCAGGCCCCGGCGCCCGCCTTCACTAATCCCGGGCAGAGCGGCGACTTTGGCGTCACGCCCCTCCCACGCCCCGCCCCCTCCGCTGGCTCACGTGACGGTGGGGCGTGGCCTCGGGACAACCCCGGCTGGGTGCACCGGAGCCATGGCAGGCCTGGTGGACTTCCAGGACGAGGAGCAGGTGAAGTCCTTCCTGGAGAACATGGAGGTGGAGTGCAACTACCAGTGCTACCGCGAGAAGGACCCTGACGGTGAGCGCCGCCACGAACCCGCGGACCGCGGAGGACACGTGGGCAGCGCGGAGGCCGCCGGAGTGACCTCGGGGACAGGTCACGTGCCTGGCCGAGGGCGCGTGCGGGCCGGGTCTGTGAGCCTCTCAGGACCGGGCGCGTGGGGTTCCGCGGGGACCGCGCGGGAACCTGGGGCGGGATGGGGAGGGGGCTTCTGGAGTTTGGGGTGGAGGGACTGCGGGTACTTCGGGGCACAGGTGAAATAACGTCTCCTCGGCGAGCTTACATTCTAGTGCCGGGATTCGGGCAGTAGTAGTAAGGAAGTGAAGTGTTCGGTATGGAGTGTTTTAGAGATAATAAGTGTAATGGAGAAAAGACTATCAGGAGATAGTAAAGGAGGCTATCAGCCTAGGGGAGAGAGACACACAGAGAGAGAGAGAGAGAGAGAGAGAGAGAGAGGGAGGAATCACCCCTCCCTCCCCCCCAGGAGGTATGGCAACGCTGCAGTTGCTTCTCTTGAATTTTTGGCTTGCAGGTGACCTGTGTGATTTTCAAGCCGCCGGGTTGGGGACTCAAACCTCTTGCCATGTGGGATCCAGCTGCCTTGAGATCCAGCCACCTTAACTTCCATGCCACCGGCTGGTCCCCCATTTTTATTATTTTTCAAACCTATCTTGTCAGTTTCCCTCCCAATTGGGACTACAGGCCTGGCCACCAAGTGCTTCCTCTGCTCAGAGTCTCCCATTGTTGTACAGGCTAGTCTCCAGTTTGTGATCCCCCTTTCTCAGCTCCTGGGATTACAACTGAGCACAGCCACCACACCTGTCTTTAGCTTGGACCCGGAACTGAACCCTGGACCTGGAATTGAACCCAGGCTTCCCATTTGGTTCCAGAGGGCCACCATGACCAGGCCTGGGGCAATTTGAAAGTGAATGGTTGGGGAAATCACTGAGAAAGTGGTATTTGAACAAAGCCTCAAAGAACATAAGAAGTAAATCATGCAGATCTATGGCAGGCAGAGGTAGCAGCTGGTGAAAAGAAAAAGGAATGTGCCCAGGGTGTTGTGTGAACATGGAGCTGACTTGAGGTTATGGGTGGATAGTGGTAGTGGTGGGGGTACCCAAAGCAGCCAATACCTTTGAGTGATTTCCTTCTTCCTACTTTATTTTTTATTATCTTTTTTTATTTTTGAGAGATTTTTGCTATAGAGCTCGTGCGCTCTCCAGAGATACACAGAGACAGAGAGACAGTAAGCAAGAAATCAAACCCCCTAGGGGGTGGCCACACCACAATCCCTTTCCTCCAGTCTTCTTTTAGGATTTTGGGCATGTGTGCACACATGCCCAGCATAGATTAAGCTGTTGGGTCCGGGACTTGAACTGCAATCGACTACGTGGAAGTCCAGCAACATAACCATTATGCTATCTGCTATTCCTTCCTAATTTATTTTGTAGGTAGGAATAGCTTGCAGTTTAGTTTCTACAGTGTGACCACTGTTTCTCCAAGCTGACCAACTAAGACCTATTGTGTAGTACCATGGTTTAAAAAGGACCCAGGATTATTCTGTGAAGTCTGGTCTGTGTCCTAAGTATCAAGAGAATTCAGAGAAATTGCGGTCACTGAGAAGCGGTGGTTGGAGAAAATGTCCAAGGGAGGTTCAAGGGATAGAGAAGTGTTGATTGAGTGGAAAAGACAGTGGGAGAAGAAGATGCAGAAAGCATGAAGTCAGGATATAGTCAGAATTAAGTCTGAAGATGGAGCCTGGGCAGAACTAGTCAGGTCTTGAACTAGGGTAAGGAATTTAGACTTGATTCTGTAGGCAGTGGTGAGCTATGTGTGTTGTTGGAGGAGATAGTTCATGGGAAAGATAGTACTATGGGAAATATACAGAGCAATAGCCCAGGGTGTTGTGTGAACATGGAGCTGACTTGAGGTTATGGGTGGATAGTGGTAGTGGTGGGGGTACCCAAAGCAGCCAATACCTTTGAGTGATTTCCTTCTTCCTACTTTATTTTTTATTATCTTTTTTTATTTTTGAGAGATTTTTGCTATAGAGCTCGTGCGCTCTCCAGAGATACACAGAGACAGAGAGACAGTAAGCAAGAAATCAAACCCCCTAGGGGGTGGCCACACCACAATCCCTTTCCTCCAGTCTTCTTTTAGGATTTTGGGCATGTGTGCACACATGCCCAGCATAGATTAAGCTGTTGGGTCCGGGACTTGAACTGCAATCGACTACGTGGAAGTCCAGCAACATAACCATTATGCTATCTGCTATTCCTTCCTAATTTATTTTGTAGGTAGGAATAGCTTGCAGTTTAGTTTCTACAGTGTGACCACTGTTTCTCCAAGCTGACCAACTAAGACCTATTGTGTAGTACCATGGTTTAAAAAGGACCCAGGATTATTCTGTGAAGTCTGGTCTGTGTCCTAAGTATCAAGAGAATTCAGAGAAATTGCGGTCACTGAGAAGCGGTGGTTGGAGAAAATGTCCAAGGGAGGTTCAAGGGATAGAGAAGTGTTGATTGAGTGGAAAAGACAGTGGGAGAAGAAGATGCAGAAAGCATGAAGTCAGGATATAGTCAGAATTAAGTCTGAAGATGGAGCCTGGGCAGAACTAGTCAGGTCTTGAACTAGGGTAAGGAATTTAGACTTGATTCTGTAGGCAGTGGTGAGCTATGTGTGTTGTTGGAGGAGATAGTTCATGGGAAAGATAGTACTATGGGAAATATACAGAGCAATAGAGTAGAAGAGAGGAGACTTATAAAATGGACTGGTTGTGGCATGTTACAAGGAGACCCGAGGGCATCCAGCATGTAGCGCTAGACTCCCACATGGCCGATTTGAGTCCTGGACCTGGTGGTTTGTTCTCTCACTCGCTCGTGCTTGCTCTGTCTCTTGCTCTGTCCCTCTCTGGTCAAATTAAAATAAATAAAGTGAAATAAGATAATTGAAAAAATAAGAAGGAGACCCAAGGACCAGCCATTGGTGGAATGGTTAAGGCAGTTGGATCCCACATGGATGACTGTGCAGTTTGAGTTACAGATTTGACAGCTTGAAAAACACCCCAGACTGCAAGTGCATGCATGCCCCAAATCTCAAAAGAAGCGGAGAAGGTATTGTAGCATGGCCATGCTCCATGGGGGCGTGGGGGGGTGTTCTCTCTCTCTCTCTCTTTCAACCTCTGGTGAGCACATGTACCTTTTCTTTTTTAAATACTTTTTCTTTTTTGCTATAGGGCACATGCGCTCGCCAGAAAGACGGAGAGACAGAAAGTGAGAAATCACCCTCAGGGGGGATGGCCACACCACAGTCCCTTTTCTTCCATTCTCCTCTCGGGATTTTGGGCATGCACACACATGCACCCGGTGTGAGTTTAAGCCACTAGATCTGGGACTCAAACTGCAGTGTACTACACGGGAATCCAGTGACATAGCCATTACACCAACTGCTGGTCCCACATTCTTTTCTTTTTTTTTTTAATTATTTTTTAATTTAACTATATTATTTCCTTTAAAAAAGATTTCTTTTTAATTTTATTTATTATCATTATGCTTCAGTTAACATTTTTTTTTTAATTTAACTTTATGTATTTATTTATTTTAATTTGACCAGAGAGGGATAGAAAGAGGGAGAAGGAGAAGGCAAGCCACCAGGTCCAGAATTCAAACCGCTTTCGGCCATGAGGGAGTCCAGCATTCTTAACCACTATACCACCTGCGTGTCCCCTTATTCTTCTGTTTTGACCAGAGACAGAGAGAAAGGGAGAGTGAGAAAGCAAGCTGTCAAGTCAAGGACTTGAACTGTGGTCAACTAGTGCCTCAACTACCATGCCACCTGCTTGCCCCCACATGTGCCTTCTAACAATTTTTTTTAAGAGTTTTTTGCCATAGGATGTATGCACTCATTGTAGAAGGACAGACAGAGGGACAGTGAGAAATCACACCCCCTCCAGGAAGGATGGTCACCACAATCCCTTCTCCTTCATTCTCTTCCTGAGATCTTGGGCACACTTGCACATGTACCCCGTGTGACCTTCAAGCCACCAGGTCGGAGACTGAAACCACAGTTGGCCATGTGGGAGTCTAGCGACACCATCTATACCATCTCCTGGCCCCTCTAACAAAATCGTTAAAAGGAGACCTAGGAAGAAGCTATAATTATTATAGCTACTGAAACAGTTTCCTTGAAAGTCGTAATTCTCCCCTCCATAACTGAAATCGCCTTCTACCCTGTTTCCCTGTTTGCACCTTTAGTTCTTTAAAACCCATTTCTACTCGTAGATAAACTGATGTTTTCATTTGTATTTTCTTATATTAAATGCTTATTTATTAGATTTTTAAAGAACATACTTGTTTTATCAGTACCCAAATGTATCCTCTCATACTCCTAACTTCCTTAGTGCTCATCCAGGCATATAAAAATATGAATGCGGGATCTTCAAAAACTTAGTGGAAGGACCAGCGGTTAGCGTAATGGCTATGTTGCTAGGCTCCCATGTAGTCGACCGCGGTTCGAGTACCGAACTCATGCCAGGCATTTGTGCATATGTGCCCAGGATTCCGAGAGGAGGATGGAGGAGAAGGGATTGTGGCGTGACCATCCCCCCTTGGGGGGTGATTTCTCACTTTCTGTCTCTCTGTCTCTCTGTCTTTCTGGTGAGCACACACGCCCTATAGCAAAAACCTCTCAAAAAAGAAAAACTTAATGGAAAATATGTTCCCCCTCCCCACCTTTCTAGCTTTTGCTGTAGGGAGTGTGTGCTTGCCAGAGACACAATGAGAGCGAGAGGGAATGGGAGAAACCACTCCCCAGGGGAGATGGCCATGCTGTCCCTTCTCTGTTCTCCTTTTGGGATTCTGGGCATGCATGCACATGTGCCCATGGTGTTTCACAAGCCTCCGGGTCTAAGACTTGAAGTGTTCAGTTGGCCATGTGGATCCAGCTGCCTTAACCATCATGCCACTGACTGGCCCTGAAAAATACATTTTTATAAGGGCCAGCTCCATAGCCTGCTGGGTAAGGCAACTGAATCCTACATAGCCAACCATGTGGTTTGAGTCTCGGACCCAGCAGCTTGAGAAATATGCTAGGTGTACATGTGTGTATGCCCTAAATCCAATAAGGAGGGAAGATGGGACCAGCAGATGGTGTAATGGTTACATAACTGAACTCCCATGGCTGGACTTTCACATAGTCAACTGTGGTTTGAGTCCTGGACGCAGTGGCTTAAAACTCACTCTGGGCATATGTATGTGCGTGTGTGCCCCAAATCCCAAGAGGTGACTGGATGAGAAAGGATTGTGGCTTTACCACATCCCCGGGGGGGGGTGATTTCTCACTGTCTCTCTGGTGAACACACATGCTCTATAGCAAAAATCTCTCAAAAAAAAAAATAAATAAAGAGGGAAGAGATGGAGAAGAGGTTGCAGTAAGGGCCTGTTTTCTCACACCCCCTTTCTAGTGAGTACACACACCCTCTAGCCAAAGGAAAAAAATTATGAAAAAGCTGTATGAATTTCAAGATTTTTTTTTTATCAAAATAAACTAGTACTTTAATTAAATTTTTCTGTAAACTTCTGAAGGTATCTTGGTATACACAGTGACATCATACAAATGCATATTCAGCTGACAACTGGCCCAAATTCAGGTCTTACCTTGGGTGTCACAGTTCTTGAGAGAGGCTCTCCTCAATAACCCTGATCTGTATTAATCATTTCCTCAATTGCACAACAAACTAGCTCATCATCCTCTTTTATTTCTTTCCTTTTCTTTTTCTAAAAATTTACCAGAGGTTGCAAATCTATCTTGCTCACTCCCATGGTTTATTCCCTTTAGGGAACGCCAGACTGAGAGCAGCCCCAGGCATGAACTCCTCTTGCCCTGTTTTCATAGGTTGCTATCGGCTGGTGGACTATTTGGAAGGGATCCAGAAGAATTTTGATGAGGCTGCCAAGGTGTTGAAGTTCAACTGTGAAGAGAACAAGCACAGCGAAAGCTGCTATAAACTGGGGGCCTATCATGTGACTGGGAAAGGTACGGAGAGGCCTGTTTTCTTTGGTCTTTGTCATTACTACTAGGGCTGGCATCACACTTACCCCTGAGCCTCATGCTGAGCTCCACTAGCAGAAGAATCTTCAGAGGCACTGCGGAAGCACATTGTAGGAAGATTTAGGGACAAGTGTCGATGGGAAGAATACAGCCTTTCAAGTTAGGCAGACCTTAAGAAATGCTACTTGCAAGTAATGGGACCTAGACCCAATCACATTAACTCCGCTTCAGTTATGTTATCTGTAAATTGGGGTGGGGGGGGGATAATACTTGCTTCGTACAGTTACTCTGAGGATTAAATAGGACAAGGTCGTTAAAGGCATTATTAGCCTGTGGCATGGGGTAAGGCATCGGTAATTGTTAATTCCCTTCGTACATCTTGTCTTCTCATGCCCTAATTGTAGCTATCACTGGCCTAGTGTCTAAGTTATCTGTTGCTAAGTAACAAACTATTCCACTAGTTTCTGTGGATCAAGAATCTGGAACTGGTGTGGCTGAATCTCAGGGTGTCTTCTGAGGTCACAGTCGTGATGTCAATCCAGGGAGTCAGAGCTGCAGTCATTTAAAAACTTGACTGGAATTGAAGTTGAGTTTTTGTTTTTCTTTCTTTCTTTCATGTGGTAGAGAGAAAGACAAGCACCTTCTATGGGCTCTCATACTGAGATCTTCCCCCATAGCCTCCCCAGCTAACCAAGACTAGGGTACCCGTGTGTGCTTGATGTGTACAGATCAACCCATGGACAATGCTGATCTTCCATATGGCTCCAGCATTCAGGTTACTCTATGCTGTGCCAGTGTGGCTGGGCTGGAGTTTCTAATTCTTTTTTTTTTTATTTGTCAGAGGACACATGCACATGCCAGAGAAAGACAGAGGGAGAGGGAGATAGGACCCACAGTTGGGAGCATGGTCGTGCTGTAGTCCCTCCTCCATTCTGCTGTGATTTGGGGCACACATGCACAAGCACCTGCGTGATTTTTAAACTGCTAGGGTCAGGATTCAAACCCTGTAGTCAGCCATGTGGGATCAGCTCCCTTAACCACTAGACTGTAGGACCAGCCCTGGAATTTCCAATTCTAAGATGACTCACTCACGTGGCTGATGGCAAAGGCCTCTGTTTCTTGCCAGCTGTTATCAAGAGACCTCAGATTGTTTTGTTTTGTTTTGAGAGCTTTTTGCTATAGGGCATGTGCGCTCGCCAGAAAGACAGAGACAGAGAGACGGAAAGCGAGTAATCACCCCCCAGGGAGGATGGCCATGCCGCAATCCCTTCTCCTCCATTCTCCTCTCGGGATCTTGGGCACGCATGCACACACACTAGGCATGAGTTTAAGCCACTGGGCCCAGGACGGGAACTGCGATTAACTACATGGGAGTCCAGCGACATAGCCATTAGGCCAACTGCTGGTCCCAGAGACTTCAGATTGTTGTGACATGGATCTCTTCATGGACTGTTTGTGTGTCCTCAGCATGGCATCTGGCTTCACATAATCCAAGAGAGAGAACAAGATAGATTCCACATTGTCTTATGTGACCTCCCTTTGGAAGTCATATTCTTTTCATTTCCATCATAGCTTATCCCCTAAGTCTAGTCCACATGAAGGGGAAAGGACTTCAGTTCCATCCCTTGAAGGGAGGAATGTCAACTAATTTATGGACTTTTTTTTTTTAAGAGAGATTTTTGCTATAGGGTGTATGCCCTCACTGGAGAGACAGAGCGACAGAAAGTTCTGTCTTATTTTTTAACTTAATTTCCCTCAGCTTTATTGAGGTAAAATTGACAAATAAATATTGGGTTGTCAGAAAAGTCATGATGTGTTTTTCTATGCAAAATGCATCGGCCAACAGGAGGGATCAACAGATGGTATAATGGTTATGTTACTAGACTCCCACATAGTTGACTATAGCTCGAGTCCTGGACCTGGAGGCTTAAAACTCATGCTGAGCATATGTGCATGTATGCCTAAATCCCGAGAGGTGATGAGAAGAGAAAGGATTGTGGTGGCTTGGCCATTTTCTCTGGGGGGGTGGGGGGTGATTTCTCACTTTCTGTTTCTATGGCATGAGCATACACTCTATAGCAAAAATCTCTCTCTCAAAAAAAATTCATCATAGCTTTTTTGATGACCCAGTAATGTATATATTTATAGTATACAGTGTGATTTTTTTTTTTTAGAGAGAGATTTTTGCTGTAGTTTTGCTATAGGGCACGTGTGCTTGCCAGAAAGAGACAGAGATTTGAACCACAGTCGACTACATGGGAGTCCAGCGACATAGCCATTATGCCAACTGCTGGTCCCACAGTGTGATCTTTTTTGTTAATTTTTTTTTCCTTTATGGAAGAGAAGGGGAGAGAGAGAAAGAGACAGACATAGATATTTTTAACAGTCTTTGGTGTTGCAGTCTTCTGCCCCAGCCTTCCAATTAGCTAGGCTTAAAAGTATGCACCTCCATGCCAGACCTGTTCAGGTTGACCTGGGAACTGAACCAGGGCCTCTCATGCAGCCTTTAACTTCCAAGCAGTGGCACTATCTCTGGACCACTGAGGCTGAGCCCTGATGTTTAGACATATGTACACATTGTGAAATGATTACTGTAAATAAGCCAATTAACATACCCATCACATCATATGTTCTCTCTTTTTTTTAAGAGAGATTTTTGCAGTAGGGTGCATGTACTCAACAGAGAGACAGAGACTGAAGACAGAAAATGGGAATCACCCCATGTGGAGGATGGCCACACCACCATCCCTTCTCCATTCTCCGCTTGGGCACACACCACAGATACCCAGCATGAGTTTTAAGCTGCTGGGTCCAGGGTTCCAACCACAACTGATTATGTGGGAGTCCAGTGACATAGTAATTTATGCCATCTGCTGGTTCCCACGTGTTCTTTTAGTGTACATGTGTATGATGAGAACATTAAAGATCTCTCAGCAAATTTCAAATATATAGTCGTGTGTCATAGAATAATGGTCAGTGATGCACTGTATATATGACAGTGGTCCCAGAAGGTTTTACCAGTAGCATAGGTGTGGCATAGGCTATGTCATTTAAGTTTGTGTAAGTACAGTCTATGATGTTTACACAACGATGAAATTGCCTAACATACATTCTCTGAGCATATCCCTGTTGCTGAGTAACACATTACTGTACAATAGAGGACTATTAACTGTAGTCGTCACCATGCTGTACATTAGATCTGCAAAACGTTTTTATCTTGCCTGACTGAAACCTAGTACCCTTGGATCAACATATCTCCATTCTCCTCACCTATCCCCTTGGCAGCCACCGTTCTGCTCTCTGCATCTGAGTTTGATTTTATTAGATCCCACAAATAAGTGAGATCATGCATTATTTGCCTTTCTTTCTTTTTATCTTTGTTGTTGTTGTTGTAAATTTTGCTATAGGATACATTACATGTGCTTGTGAGAGAGAGACAGAGAGGGAAAATGACAGAGCACGCCCCAAGCTGAATGGCCATACTACAATCCCTTCTCGCCATTTTCTTCTCAGGATTCTGGGCATGCATACACATGTACCCATTGTGTTTTTTAAGCCACTGGGTCTGGGACTTGAACTTTACAGTTGGCCATGTGGAACCTTAACTACCATTCCACTGACTGGTCCATTATTTAGTTCTTTGCTTGGCTTATTTCACTTGGCATAATATCCACCATATGACACAAGTTTCATCTGTACTGTTGCAAGTGACAATATCCTTTTTTAAGGCTGAATACTGTTCCATTGTGTCTATAAACATCCGTTCATTCGTTGATGAACACTCAGGTTAATCATGTATCTTGGTAGTGAATAATGCTGCCATCAACATAGAAGTACAGATATCTCCTGGAGATGCTGATTTTATTTCTTTTGGATATAAACATCCTACTTAGTCCATTTTGTGCTGCTATAACAGGCACTGGGTAATTATCAATGAACAGAAATTTGTCTCTCACAGTTTCTTCCCAGACAGGAGACTGAGAAGTCCAAGATAAAGGTACCAACATCTGCTGGGGACCTTCTTGCTGCCTTATAACATGATAGAAAACATCAACATGGTGGAAAGGCAAAGCGAGTGCAGAGGGAGAGGAGATACATAATAAGCCTATCCCTGCAGTAATAGCATTAACCCGTTCCTGACCCAAACACCTCCTGAATGTCCCAGCTCTTACTACAGTGGCAGTTAAATTTCAACGTTAGTTTAGGAGAAGACAGACATTCAATCTATAGCATACCAGAAATGAGGTTGCTGGATCATAAAGTAGTTCTTTTCTTTTTTTTTTTTTAACTATTATTTAATTAATTTTTAATTTGTCAAAGAGCATGAGTGTTCACCAGAGAGAGACAGAGAGAGAAAGAAAGTGAGAAAGCAAGCCGCCAGGTCCAGGACTCAAACCACAGTTGACCATGCCGGAGTCCAGTGCCTTAATCACCACACCACCTACTGGCTCTGGTAGTTCTATTTTTTAATTGTTTGTTCATTTATAAGCCAGAAAACATGTGTGCTCATCAGAGAGAGACAGACAAGGGTAAAGAAGAAAGCACCATGTAGGTGAGGCATGGTCATACAACAGTCCTTTCTCCATTTTTCCATCCTGTCAGTATTTTGCACATCTGCCCAGAATGTTTTTCCTTTTTTTAGATAGATTTTTGCTATAGGGTGTGTGTGCTTGCTGGAGAGATAGACAGAAAGCAAGAAGTCACCTCCAGGGAGGATGGTCATGCTACAGTCCTCTCCTCCATTGTCCTCTCAATATCTTGGGCATGCACATGTACCAGCCATAGGTTTCAAGCCTCCGGGTTTGGGACTTGAATTGCGGTCAGCTGTGTGGGAGTTGAGCTACATAACCATTATGCCATCTGCTGGTTCCCCCAGCATGTTTTTCAAGCTTCCAGGGCCAGGATTCAAACTGTGTAGTCTACCATGTAGGATCCTGCTCCCGTAACCACTAAGCCACTATTTTGGCTGCTTGGGTCTTTTGTGA